TGATAGAAAAAAAAAAATAACTTTCCCATTATTTTAGTTGCAGAATTCTCTAACTCAAGGTAATATACTACATTGGCATTCATTTTATTTTCTTAAAATCATTTTGTATATATCAGCCAGATGAATTTAAAGCTTGTTGATGCTCCATAAAGAATGAATGAAATTACGACAGAAAAGGGAAAAAGGGAGCACTTTGTGAGTGAGACAAAGTCAGTGATAGAGTTGTTTGTTCTAGAAAGACAACGAGAGTGGAAAAGAACAAACAGTGACAGTTTCTGAAGGTGTCAAGTTAAAAACAAAATTTTTTTTTTTTTTTTTTTTTTAAGATGGAGTTTCTCTCTTGTTGCCCAGGCTGGAGTGCAATGGCACGATCTTGGCTCACTGCAACCTCCGCCTCCTGGGTTCAAGCGATTCTCCTGCTTCAGCCTCCTGAGTAGCTGGGATTACAGGCATGTGCCACCACGCCCAGCTAATTTTGTGTTTTTAGTATAGTCGGGGTTTCTCCATGTTGGTCAGGCTGCTCTCGAACTCCCACCTCAGGTGATCTGCCTGCCTCAGCCTCCGAAAGTGCTAGGTGTGAGACACTGTACCCAGCCAACAACAAAATCTTAACAAACATTCCCATTATAACATGAACAGAACTTAAGAATCAAACAGCAGCAATTAGTAAACAGGGGGCAGCCTGCCTAGATATGCTCTATTTGCCCCATGAGATGCACTGTCTACACTTCTCCCTACCTCCCAACCTCATCTTGTACCCGAACAGATTCTCGCTGCCTATCACTACCTGAGCAGGAGGCTGATGCTATAGAATTACATCCACAGGCTTCCTTAACTGCTGACTTCCATTTAAGCGTGTCCAGTGGGAGGCATTACGGTATATCGGGTCGTGAGAGGACAGTGACGTCAGGGTTTGTACTCCTCCCACCATCTTTTTGCTAGATCTCCACAGGTTGACCAAACAGAGATTCTCTGGTGTTCATCTGTCTCCTAGATCATCAGTTGCTTACTCCTTCATTACCAACCATAGCCAGTCTACTTTGTGGAGGCCCCTGGGGTTTTACCAGATAAATGTGACTAGTCACAGGACCAGACTCTGACTTGTCCACTACATCTGGTATCAGAAAAACACCACACCAGGGAATATGGAGCCTGACTTCCAGAGCAGCTACTGAAGGAATTAGGCAATTGAATCTGTAATAATGAGAGTTAATTTCCCATGTGGAGAAACTTGCGAGGCAGTTAAATGAAGGATACATTTCTGTTCCCTTTCTCCCTTGGATGGACTGTTTCAAGGCATGGTTGCTAGTTTTAGTAAGTCAAGAGAATTCCTCCAAGACCGAGAAATCGTACTGAATAATTATTCCTGTTGATTGGCTCATTGTGACAGAGTGACAAAGTAAAATATCAATTTGCATTCCTTTCCACTCTCAGAACTTCACATCCATTTTTAATCTGTCTCTGCTTTTATAAGGTTGCACACCCCGGGTAAAGAGTTGACATTTAATCCTTGCCTGAGTTTCTGTTTATTAAGGAATGTAAGCTAATATATTAAAAATATATATATTATATATATGTTTTATACATTTTATGTAATTGTATACTATATATTTATGTAAATATATGTAATATATATCTTACATATATAAAATATATTATATATATGTTTTATACATTTTATGTAATTGTATACTATATATTTATGTAAATATATGTAATATATATCTTACATATATAAAATATATATAGAGAGAAATTAGGTATATATCCTACTTTCACTCATAGTTTTCAAATTTTATTTTTGTTATTGTTTAATCTTTGTAACTTTGAGGAGTATATAACTCTAAAAAAATTTTCAACACCCACACTATCTCTTACTTTTCTCTACTTTGTAAGGTGACCCTTCCCTTGGACTCTTCTAACTTCCCCTCCCAAATTCTGTCAACTGAACTTTTATTTTTTGCATTGTGAATGCTAATGATATGTCATTTCTGAAACCATAATTTTAAATTTTATGTGTATTTTCTGCAGTTCATTTATGAAATTTAATATCCGTAAGTATTGCTTATATTTTGGTGGATATGCAAATACTGTACTTTGCAGAACCAGGAATATTAGTTATTACTTTTTTTCTTATATCACTTATCTGGGATTTTAATTGCTTTATATTTCCTAGTAGTATTGGAAATATACACATAAACACACATATGTGTGTGAATATATCTATATATTATGCTTTGCTACAGTTTCCCTTATAAATAAATATTTTGCTCACAACACTCTTCCAGGCTTTTGCATCCTCCTACATGAAATTAAATGAGGTAACATCTAGGTCTGTTGCACAGTGGCATCCTAGAACTTGATTCCTTGCCCTCATCAGTTAGTTATCTTGTTTACTGGAATTGACCAAATTTACCATTCACTCCTGTTATAGACTCTTAGGAATGTAGAAATACATGAGAATTTCATCAATCTAATAACCACTCTGAAAACAATTTGGCTGTTTTGTAAAAATTTAAACATACACCTACCATATAATTCAGCATTCTCCTAAGTGTTTCCTCAAGAAATGAGGTATGTTCATAAAAGGACTTGCACATGAATGTTTATAGCAGCTTTTGCATAATAGCCCCAAACTGAAAACAACTCAAATGTCCAACAGTTAGACATACAAACAGTGGCATAGCCATAAAAGAGAATACTACTAAATAATAAAAACAAAGTGAACTCTTTATACAAGGCATAACATGAAAGAATATCAAAATAATTATGCTGAATAAAATGTAGCATTAATACTATAATAAATAAAATTAATTAATTTATTAATAAATTTATCAATGTATTAATAATGCTGCAATCAATGCAAAGCAAAAAAGCACAATAAATGCTTCCACTTATTAAAAGAAAACACAGGAATGCAAATATATAGTGACAGTAACATCCATGGTTGCCTAGAAATGGAGGCAAGGATGGAAAAATATGGAGAAGGGAGTGAGGCAAGGTTGCAAAGGGGTATGAAGAAACTTTTCAATTTTATTGCTCCTAATGTGAAGTAGTCAATGTGGATCCCTTGGGTTACATAAAACTGTTTGAGATAGTGGAAGCCAAATTTTAAATCCCCTTGAAATTGTTTTAGGCCAGCACTGAAATGTCAAAATATAAAATTTAACCCACAAATTGAGCTAAGAAATACAGCAATTGGATACTACAATAATGATAAAAATAAAACTCTGTATTTCAGGCATTGTGTTAATAACTTAGTATATACTGTCCCATGTAATCATCTCATAAAATAGGCCTATGAGGTAGGTATTTATATCTATAATTTAATGAGGAAGAAACTTGAGTTTTGAGAAATTACATAGTTCAAGTATTATATTTACATCAGCACATTACAAAAGGCCTTATTTTGTGTGATTCTAATAAATGTGAATAGTAATTATGGAGCTACATTACTCATGTGCATTTGCTATGATATGATTTTTTGCAAGGATATTTTAAGAGCTATATAAAATAGATGGATTTTTATCTAGGTTGTTTCTACAAAGATTTGCAAGCAGTGAGCATCAGTGCAAATCTCCTTTTAATTATCAATAGACATAAATATATGACTGATTGAACAATGAAGTCACCTTCATCCAGCTCTCCATTTTCTTGGTTTTGAAAATACTCATCCAGTATAGTGCTGCATGATATTTCATTTAATTAAATTTAGGCTTTTTTTAAAAAAAAATGTTTATAGGTATCTTGTTCATCTTCTATCACAGTTGGAAGACTGGAGTATTTCTCCTAGAAATACTTCATGTGTATGTCATGGAACTCTAATGACCACATATATTTAAATCCATCTGATATATATCTTTTCAATCTTATGAGTTAATTTATTTTAGCTGAACTCTAGTTCACAACAGTAAAATGATTATTGGCTTGCAAGATACATGTGTAGATACAAATAGAATGAGATAAATTACAATATAAAAAATAAAACTAGTTCATTTGCAATGCCAAATCAATAGCGTGCTATTTTATTACATAATATGGTAACAGAACTGTTTTGACTCAATAATTTATCTCAAAAGGAATATTCAACTTGTTTTAGAGAACACAGTTCGAAGAACAGTTAAAAGATAAAAGGTTAATGGAATCTGGCTGAGAAGAAAACAGAACATTTCTTTTCTTAGAAGAAAAGAACTCTTGCCCAATTTTTGTACTTTTTAAATTAATGAGCTATGGAAATAAGTCAGGAAACTATTTCTAGAATCCAGGAAATTAAAAATATAATTAAAAGTACATATTATCATGCTGTAGAAAGATATTGTATCTGTCATCAAAAAGTGATTCTTTCAATTTTCTACTTATCTATATACAATCAAATAAACTTGAGGAACTGAGGCATAACAGATCTCAGAAGAGAAATGCATTTTGAGATTTCTATAACCCATGATACACATCTGCCCACATGCACACACCTAGGTGCACAAACATATATGCACAAACCTAATTATATATGTTTTGGTGAAGGTATGGGAAAAAAAAAATTGCCATTAGAATTGTAAGGAATTTTTATGTTCTTTTTTAAAATTTGGCCAGAAATGAGGAGAAATTGTATACAACCTCAAATTTAATAGCAGATACAGTAAAAATATATATCCTTTAACAAAACGTCATGTATAAAAATAAAATGTAGAATTTTCCAGCTAACATTTTCCCTTTAATGGCTTTGTTTCCAAATTTTGATTCCTTTCTTGCTTAATTCAGATACCCATTGTATCTCTAACTTGTGCTTTTCAATTTATGAAGTCTTTCTGACTCTTCTCCTGACAAAAGTAACCACTATTTTTGTGGCCTACTGTTTTTAACACTACTGCTTTTAAGTGTAGTGGTCTGATCTGATACCTTTGTTTCTTTTTTTGAGATGGAGTCTCACTCTGTCGCCCAGGCCAGAGTGCAGTGGCAAAATCTTGGCTCCCGCAACCTCCACTTCCCTAGTTCAAGTGATTCTCCTACTTCAACCTCACAAGTAGCTGGGATTACAGGTGAGCACCATCACGCCTGCTAAATTTTGTATTTTTAGTAGAGACAGGTCTCACCATGTTGGCCAAGCTGGTCTCAAACTCCCGACCTCAAATGATCCACCCGCCTCAGCCTCCCAGAGTGCTGGGATTACAAGTGTGAGCCCCCGCATCTGGCCACCTGACAGTTTTGAAAAATGCAGAAATGTTAGTCCAACTAAAACCATTCCAATCGTCCTATACTGATATTGTTTCTTTTCAATAAACATAGAAATTGGCCCTCCTGGTTTTAAAACTTGAGAAAATTACAACTGTCTTATCTGAGTTCCTTTTTCAGGAAACCAACCATCAGGCCTGTCAGATGATATCAAGGAACTGAAATTTACTGGATCACTGCATCTGAACAATGGAGCAAATGGGGCACCATATCCTTCAACCATTTTGATTGACTAACTGAGCACCTGCTTCCTGTTGGTGAACTTATCTTCCTCATTTCTTCCTAGTTCCTGTTTGCCCACACATGGTCACATTTCTTACCTGCTAGATAAAACTATAGCTTTAGTCCATCAGAGAGATGGATTTGAGACTGATAGCCTATCTTCTTGGCTGCAGTGCCCAAAGAGTACCTTTATCCTTGGCAATACTCTTTGTCTCAGTGACTGGCTTTTTATACTGTTAGTAGCAGGATATAGACAAAAACCTTGGAGTTTTAATAACAAGACTTCAGGTCTGTTGATAAAGAATATGTATTTTCTTGGACTTCTTGAATGATTCTTAGACATATTAAAGTCTGAGAACCATTGTTTTAATCTACAAACATTTAATTTTCTCTTTCTTTACCTTTACATGTTTGCTTAAACGTTTTTCTCTCCTATGTAAAGAATAAGTCCCTTTACCTGTAGAAGGAATACTGAAATAATTGATCACCACTGCTTATTGCTTTATTTGCACATAGTAAGATTTAAGAAATCCTTACGGAATGTATACAATGTACTAGTTACCTTTGCTGGACAAGACTCATTGTTAAATGTTCTCATTAAAATAACTTTTTTAAAAAATTTATTTATTAATATGTCCCTTAGGAGTACAAACTCATTCTTCTGAAATGCTTTTACTGGTCTGTGACTCTATAGAAACTCAAGCAGATTATAAGGACACTTAATCCAAAAGTAATAGTGATTGCATTTGTGACAGCATGGGCTCAATAACAAACAAAGAGGTCATTTCCAGTAGCACTGTAATGTTATGGGAAGGCAACTTACAATTTTAAATTCATGCTCACCCACTAATTATCTTTATGACCTTAGAAACTTTATTTATTATTTGAGCACATTAAGCCTCTCCTTTTCATTTTTACAGGTGTAAGATAGGAATAGAAAAAGCAATATCAAATAATAGTGTAAAAATTGCATCCAAAGTAGTGGTGAAGAATGCTGGTCTCAGTGGTAGTGAGTTTTCAAAAGCCAGAATAATGAACTCAAGTCCTTCAGAGGGAACTCAATCAGAGCAGAGTGGTTCTCATTCTTCATCTCTGTTTTCGCTCAGGATGTACAAAATGCAGCTTGGAAATTGAACTGTACGAAAATTAAGAAGAAAGCAACAAGCATACCTAGCGCCCAGAGATTGGTTTCTAATATCATTCTCCAATAAAAGAAAAAAGCACTCCTAAAAGAAATGACTACTTCTATTACTAGAGAAGAAAATATCCAAGATGAGCCCAGAGCATCTTGGAGTACTAGAAGGTAAGGTTCTGCTAAAATAAATAAATAAATAAATAAATAAATAAATAAATCTGAACCAAACCAAGACCAAAGCCAAAACAAACAATAGAACTTACTACATTGATAGAGGTATGTCACAGATGCACAAGAAGCAATGGAAAGAGCTAGTAATGGCCAAATTTAGAATAATTGGAGTAACAAAATAGTGGTGGGGGATAATAACTTAAAGTATCTAATGAATATTCCTGAATCAACACTGATATAAGTGATGGAAGAAATAAATAAATAGAGAAGAAGACATAAATCTCCAATGCAGAAGAATTTCAAATAATTTATATAGATACTCTACTTTGCAGGAGGCAGAGCATGGCTCCTTACATCCTAAGTGTGACCTGCACATAGTGACTTTCTTTTAATGTGGAATGGAGGGAGAAGAGGAAATTTACAGTGGAAAAACCTGAAAAACACTACCTAAACCAGGAGATAGAAGTCAAAATGAACAGTGTGATGACATGTATATAGCATATAGCCTTTATATGATGAAAATGGCATTTTACTTCTCTGGTATTCCTTCCCAAAACCCATCATCTCAATCTAATAATGAATGACGTTAGATAAATCCCAATAGAGATAATCTACAAAATATCTGAGGAATACTCCTCAAACTATTAAGTTTGTCAAAAACAGGGAAAGTTCAAGAAGCTGCCACAACTGAGAGTAGCCTAAGGATACACAGATGACTAAGTGTAGGGTGGCATTTTCAATGGGATACTAGAATTTTAAAACATGACATTAGGTTAAAAACTGAAAATATCTGAAACAAGTATAGATTAACTTCATTTTGCAATAATACATCAATATTACTTCATTGTCATCATAAATGTACCATATTAATATCAGATGTTAATAATTAGGTACAGAGTATATGAGAACTGTCTTTATTACCTTCACCTTTTTTCTATAAATTTGAAACTGTTCTACGATAGACATTTCGATTTTAAAAAGGTAGAAGATAAAGTTCCATTTTTATTTCCACTTCTTAGCCATCAAATGATTTGAATATTCACTTATTATCTATGCTTCATTTGCCTCATATACGTTTAAGTGAAAAATAAGAGCTTGGTTTTCTAATTCATTAAATTGTTATGGGGTTCAAAGGAAACAAACCATGATAAAATATTTAGTAATCTTCAAGGTGGTATTACTAATACTATGTCACATAATTGATGCGCTGAAGACTTTTTTAAGTAAGTGAGTTTCGGCTTTAGTCATTTGTCTAAGACAAATGAGGAATGTCCAAATTACCAAAATGGTGCTGGAGAAATGAAAACAATGCCTATTCTTGAGGAGTTCTGAGAAGATAACAGGAAATAATGCTAAGGAATGCTTGAAAACCGGAGTGTTCACTGGTTCACGTGTCTAAATTTTATTTCTTTAGGATTTCATCTCCGTAGTTAGGTTGCAAATCTCTACAGGAGGAGAGCTATATTTACATTTGAATGTGTTTACACATATTCCCCAAAAGATTGAATGTTTCCTAACTTTGTGAAATATTCTTAATAGATATTTATAATATACATGAATGCATTCAACCCCCCAGCGTAAAAGGGCAAGTCTGACACAGATGTCAACTAAGATGCTGAATCTAGGTTTAGCAAAACATACTGAGAAGCTAAGTAGGTGGCTACTAAGACTTGTAGCATATCTTTTCCCTTATCAACAATTTTTAAAATAAATTGGTTGGGGAACATGGCTTATGCCTGTAATCCTAGTACTTTGGGAGGCTGAGGCAGGCAGATCGCTTTAGTCCAGGAGTCCGAGACAAGCCTGGGCAACACTGTGAGACTCTGTCTCTAAAAAACATATTAAAAAAATAGCCAGACACTGGGACGTGGGCCTGTAGTCCCAGCTACTTGGGGGCTGAGCTTGGAGGATCATTTGAGCCCCAGAGATCAAGGCTGCAGTGACCTGTGATTGACATGGGTGATACATGCTTGAGTGACTGAGGAAAACCCTGTCTCAAAAAACAATAAATTTATTCTAAAAAGTATACTTTAAGAAAATTTCAACTAGATTGGTTTTAGAAGCAGATTTTCCAAAATCAAAGTAAGAAAAGAATAGTGTGTTTATAATTGCAATGTGCCCCATATATGTGGGAAAATGCTCTTGAAATATACCCATACCAATAACCTTTATGGAATCACACTGAGCAGGAATTATTCCTACAATTGTCCCTTCCCTTGGGTCATTTAAATGGTTTAAATTCCATTTAGATATTAGTTGTAGAGAATCACCATAATTACCTAAGATAAATGCCTCATCTACTTTCAAATCTTCATTAAAATTAGCTTTTTTTTCTTCTTTTGGTGCCCAATACCAAAGCTATTAGAGTTAAGAGTCTGTCAGCATTTCCATTTACAAACTCTGTTTTTTTTAGGGTTCATTATCTTTTCTGTTTTGAATTACATTAGCCTGAAAATTAGCTGTCAGCATGAATATGTATTATATTACCCAAACTCCATGTACACATCAGTTTGGCAATATAGAAGGCAGAGATCAGTAACCTCTTTCCTCCTTCTTCATAAAATTCTAAAGGTGTGTTGACTGCTTCATTATCTCATGGCCAGGCACAGACAAAGCCTTTTAATCATGAACTTTCTCCGAGAATTGGTCCTAAATCTGACCTAATAATTTTGATATTTAAAAATTTATGAAGAAGACAAATTGAATATGTGTTGTACTTGCTTTTCAACATATAATTCCTTTTTAAGCTTCTGAACCAAATTACAGTCTCATATAATAAGAGATCTAAGAGAGGTACACACGGAAAGAAAAAAAATGAGGGATCTGTGATTTGTGCTATTTCAACTAAAGAATAAAAGCAAAGTAAATCACAGTGAGTGCTGTTTCGTTCATTTTGTTAGAGACATTTCTTCACTTTCAACGGGGCAATGACAGGAGGTGATGTAGCAATCACAACAGAAGTAGCAGCTGCAGGGCATGTGAAATGGTAAAAAAAAAAAAAAAAAAAAAAAGCATCTGGAATCTGGGCCACATGATGTACCCTTTCTGTCCAGAGCAAAAGCTACAAAGGCAATTCTATATTCCTTGTTCTCTCAATGTTTCTTTCACAAATACACTCTTAGTTTACTTAATTTGTCACCACCTGTTTCAACATCAAACATCTTTCAATTATCATTCAGTGTTTATCAGAAAACAGACCTGATATCCCATTTTGTTTTCTTTTAACATGGAGTTGGGAGAGAGGAAAAGATAAGGTAGCAGTAAAAGAACCAGCCCTTGCACTATATTAAAATAGAATGTGGTGTCACACATGGTCTCTCAGAAATAAATAATTAAATCTGCCCCGATCACTAAGGCTACAGGCAAGTGACACTAATATGAGAGAAAAATATTGTCTCAGAGGAAATGTTTGAATGATAAACTTATCATCTGACCTATTTGTAAGGCAAATGAAAATTAAAGTGAAAATTAAAAAAGGGAAGACAAGAGTATTGTAATTATTTTGACTATAAAGTATGCTTTTTTTTTTTTTTTTTTTTGAGACGGAGTCTCGCTCTGTCACCCAGGCTGGAGTGCTGTGGCCGGATCTCAGCTCACTGCAAGCTCCGCCTTCCGGGTTTACGCCATTCTCCTGCCTCAGCCTCCGGAGTAGCTGAGACTACAGGCGCCCGCCACCTCGCCCGGCTAATTTTTTTGTATTTTTTAGTAGAGACGGGGTTTCACCATGTTAGCCAGGATGGTTTCGATCTCCTGACCTCGTGATCCGCCCGTCTTGGCCTCCCAAAGTGCTGGGACTACAGGCTTGAGCCACCGCGCCCGGCCTCTTAATGCTTTTATGTCTAGTTCAGGCCTAAAGGTACACAGTGGGTAATGTCTATAGAAAGGAGGAAATATGAAAAGTTCTATTTATGAACCACACACAGAAACACTCATTAATTTTAAAATATTTTTACCCAACATAGAAGCCATGGACTGGTTAAAATAAAACTAAAAAAATAAAATAAAGTACTTTTGTGACACGGCAAAGCATTAGAAATTGTCTGAATTTATAACTGAAGAAACACCACATGCAAATTTTAATTTCTTATTAAAATAGGGGATCATATTCTGTCACTTAAATTATTAACCTTCCCGATAAAACTGTGATTCTTGCATAATGGTTCTTACCTCATGTTGGATATTAACTAGTGCTTATCATTAGGAATATCTGATCCATGATGAACTCTGAGATCTTCATTATTATAATTTCCTCTTCAGCATTTGACAGTTACATTTAAAAGATAATCCAAACAATTTGAAATAGACCTTCCATCTTTCCTATATTTCAAGTGAACAGATTGAAGTTGCCAAATAGCTCAAGCTAATGTACACATTTATCCAGCCATCAATTCAAATGATGGTTCCTGTGGATCTATACTCCCAAGATAGTTCTCTCAGGACCCTGCATAAAAAGATGGAGAAGATACAATGGCTTTCCTTAAGCAACAGTAAAGGATAAAAATATAAATAATTAATTATAGCACAGCTCTTTTAAATACAATTTTATGGATGCACAGAAGTCAAATGTAGTTTGGTATATCTCTCATAGAGAAGGTGATATATTAACTGATAATTGAAGGCAAAGGAAACATTCCTAAGCCATGCAACATGCACCTGATATAGAAGTAATAACACAAAACTAGTAAAGAGCAAAATAACAGCAAAGACTAAGAAAATGTTGTAGAATGAGAGGGGCCACAACACATGGTATTCTCTTGATAGATATTTGCTGGATATATGAATGAATTTATGCTTAATAAGAGTTACCAAAGCTAACATTCATTATACATGAAATGATGTGCATTTTAGTAAGTGCTATACGTATAGCAGCTCTATTACATTATGCTACTCCCATCTAACAGAGGAAGGAAAAGTAGGAATACGCAGTTTGAATAGATCAACCAATGTTGCACAATGAGCACGGGTGCCTGTAATCCCAGCTACTCGGGAGGCTGAGGCAGGAGAATCGCTTGATCCCGGGAGGTGGAGGTTGCAGTGAGCTGGGATAGCGCCACTGCACTCCAGCCTGGGTGACAGAGGGAGACTCCATCTCAAAAAAACAAAAAAAAGAAAAAAAGATGCTGGGCAGAGATTTGAATCTAGGCAGTCAATCTCTGAACAGTCTCCTTAATTTATATTTATGATTTTTTTCTTTATAAGAGATATTACTGTTAGATATTAGTATAAATATTTCTTAATCTATCTGTCCTCAATATAACAATAACCTGTTTTTGAGTTAAAGTTTTGTTAAATATGGAAATTTTGTTGTAGTTTTGTTTCAACTTTTAAAAAGCTGAGTGTTCTCTTATGATAATTGGACCATTTAGTCCATTTACATTTAAGGTTAATTTTGTTATGTGTGAACTTGATCCTGTCATTATGATATTACCTGGTTATTTTGCTCGCTAGTTGATGCAGTTTCTTCCTAGCATCGATGGACTTTACATTTTGACATGTTTTTGCAATGGCTGGTACCTGTTGTTCCTTTCCATGTTTAGTGCTTCCTTCAGGATCTCTTTCAGGAGTCATAGGTCTTCTTTAAAATTTTCTGTAACATTTCAACAGAAATTATTCTTGTTTTTATGGGAGAAGTCCTAACACCCTCCTTGTGTTTGGCATGAAGAAGAGAAATATACCCCAGGGATAAATTCCAGACTATTCTTTTCTATAAAAGCAGCTAATTTTTAATGAAAAATTTTGTCACATTATTGATAATATCTAAAAGCAATCAAAATAATCATATTTTAGTTAATCATAAAATACCCCATTCTTCTCTCTACTTATATCATACCATCTTCACTTCACTAAGTT